ATGATTCTCGGGGGCGGGGATCCATTCACAGGGACTCTGGTGGGAGTGGTATCCCCTGGAGTTGGGCCATGGAACAGCGCTGGGAAATCCCACGGGGAGGCAAAGGGCCCATGTCACCCATCCCTCTCCCTGGGTCACCACAAGTCACAGAAAGCAGGGGTGCTCCCCTCTGAGTCAGAGCAGTGACCCATCCAGCACAGGACGCGGGGTCAGGCAGGGCCACCCTGGGAGGCCAGGTGGTCTGCAAACAGAGACCAGTGCCTACTGCCGTCCTCTCTGCCTTTGCTCTTCACATCTCGTCTCCACAGCTGACTACGGCACTCTCCTCCCGGCCCGAAACCTCTCGTGACTCCTCACTGCCTACAAGACATGCTCCCAACTCTCCCACCGTGAAGAAAACCATTTTTCTTTACTAACATATCTTGAGGGGGGAAAAAAGCTCCTTTGTTTGCTTCCTCGGGATTGCACATTTAGAATCTTTAGAATAGGAGCCCCCGAAGGCAGAGGTCTTGTCTTCTTCGTCTTCGTGTGTCCGCGGGACACAGAGCACCTGACTCATAACACGTGTGCCATAATGAGTTAAACGGAATTAAAGAAGAGAGAAACCGGCGAAGATCAAAGACAAAATCAGAAGCCAAGAAAGCAGCAAAGCAGGGTGAACAGGGGAAAAAGACCTCATTTTCAGCCGGGCTTTCCATCATCTCTTTCCAGTATTTTATGGCAGTTCCCTGGCAGGGCTCCCACACTGCCGTGAGCCAGGGAAGGGGGATGGCAGAATGATGTTGCTCATGGGATTTTGCCCTGCTCTTTGATGCTGCTGCTGTGGGGCAGGTGCATTTGCTAAATTACCCACTAAGGTGGTAGGTCATTTATAGCCATCCCAGCCCCACCTGGCAAATGAAGCCTTGGTTTTCTACAGGCAGACATTTCAGAGCAAAGCCAAGAGCCTCCCAGATAAACTGGAAAACAGATGCTCTTGCCAGAAGTGAACTTGGCTGGGGAGGCCTGGTGGATGCAGCAGCTGAGGGATCCCCAGCACCAGGCAACCTGCTGGCTGGTAAAGGCCCTGGGTCTCAGGTGGCTGAAGTGGCATGTTCGGGGCTTTCTAAGACCCTGTTCTCTGAACATTTGCACGAGAAGCATGCCCATTTTTGAGCCTGCTTTCTCATTTGCAGAAGGGGGTGACACTACCTGCCTAAGGGGTATTATGAACATCAAATCGTGCCTGGTGCAGGGTAAACGCTCTGTACAGAGGAGCCATCATACATCTCATTGTCCCAATGCCTCAATGATTTCTTCTGTTAAATGGGGAGAGCAATACCTATTTTGCAATAATATGCTAAGGATCAAGTGAAGTAGAACCTAGGTGCTGAGCAAAGGATGCAAGGAATTTATAGTACGTCAGCTTGGATGTTCTAAAGCCAAACCGAGCTCTCTGTAGGATCTTCAAATCAGGCGATCAGACCAGCGGGTGGGAGGATGCCACCGGCAGTGTATCTTGGTTTCTGAAAGGTAGGTGATAGAAGTCTCTCAAGAAATGCCTATAGACATGCTGAAGACATGAAGGCTAGACGCCAACACCTCTGACTACTTGAACAAGCACACACCAAAAGGATTAATAGCAATAAGGAAATACTTTTCCCATTCTGGGCCTAGCACTCTAGAATCTGGCCCTATTCGAATGAATATGACTTATTAAAATTAATGATTTGAATTAAGACAGAAACCATGCTTATTTAATTTGGAAAACTTGGACAAGGGCAAAAGCAGCAATATTTCAACAGGATGAAAAGATGGGCCAAAAGCATCATAATAATCAGTGGGGGAAAAAATGTAAAGACCTGTACTTGGATTTAAAAAAAAAAAAGTAGAAAAAACATAGCTGGAAAGCACAGGATGGAGGAAACCAGTATAAAATTCATGTTTAAAAAAAAAGGAAAAAACTACATTAAAAAAATAAATTAATGTGAATCATTGGTGCAATGTAACTGCCAAAAAAGCAAAGTCAGTCTTGGGCTACATTAATAAAATAACAGTGGTTGGAAGAAGAGAAAAAATGGTTTCAATATGCCCTAACATCTACTCAAAACTAGGGCCTCTCCAGAGAAAAAATAACCAGAATAATGGTCGGTCTGAAAGACCATGTGGTCTGAGAAACAGGTGAATAAAATGGAGATAGAAGGTGACAGTGGGTGTAGTTAGCTCGAGAAAGAGGAGATTTAGAAGGTACTTGATTTCTATCTTCAAGTGAAAGAAAAACTCTTTCTGGAAAGGTCTTAGACACGTTCTGTGTAGAACCATAGGACTGAACTTTAAAACAAAGCTTTAAAAGGAGACCTATTTCTTTCTATTTTTTCTTTTCTTTTTTTTTTTTTTTAAAGATTTCATTCAATTAGAGAGAGAGAGCACAAGCAGGGGAGGGGCAGAGGCAGAGGGAGAAGCAGGTTACTGGCTGAGCAGGGAGCCCAACTTGGGGCTCGATCCTGGGATCATGACCTGGGCCGAAGGCAGATGCTTAACTGACTGAGCCACCCATGCACCCCGGAAATCTATTTCAGTTCAATAGGAGAAAGGCCTCATGGTCATGAGAGGGCTGCCACTGCTCCAGGCACCATAACCACAATCAAACACAGGAAATGGGGGCACCAGAAAGCTCCTCTCTCTTATTTGTTTCCTTTATCAGGAGGCAAAATATCTTTTCCAGACTCTGCAGATTTATTTTATTCTTTTGGCCAGAACTGAATCACGTGGCTGCCCCTAGCTGCAAGAGAGACTGGGGACTTGGAAGGTCTGGTAGAAGAGAATGGCAAAGGGGTAAGCTAGGACTGGCTTCAACCACTTATGATGAAATAAAAAAGACAATACCCTAAGAATAATAGATGGGAAAATGCAAAGAGCTTGGGTCCTTGATGACATCACTGAGCTGCTGAACTAAATTTAAAATGGCCAACTTCCAGTCTTCTTAGAGTGAGAGAAAAATAAATTCATATTTGATTAAGCCATTGTTGAGTTTCTCTTCCTTGCAGTCAGACACACACTACTGGATACAAAGACGGTCCTTATGAAAGTAATTGGGATATCTCCAGTGGGATTACCTGTGGTTCCCATTCACCCAGCAGTTTGCCGGAGTGTCTCCTTGGTTCCAGGCACTGGTTAACCTCTGGAAATGTAACGGTTAACAGAACCAGACAAAAGCCCTGTCCTTGCGGACAGAAGTTACATTCCAGTGGAGAAGACAGGCTTTGCTGAAGCCACCCAGAAAGGAGAAGAAAGATGGAATTCCCGTAATTCCGTGAGGAAAGGGTTCAAGGTACCATGAGAGCATACTGCAGGGGAATCGCCCTGGTGCTGGAGTCAGGAAAGGCTTCCCTGAGAAGTGTGCACAGGTCTGAGATGTGAACATCCACTCTCAGGCCGCTGTCTCTGCCCACAGTGACGTCTCCTTATTGCCTACCTCCTCTTGACCTACCATCTGCTCCGTTGAAGCCTTTCCGTCATCCCATGAAGTCCTGATCTTCCCGCTAGAAGAGACCTCTACCTCCTCTAATGCCCTTGGGAACTGCTCTCACCCCGACTTAAAATTTGAGCCCTGGTTCTGCTTAGCTCCTCACTCCCACCCACTCCTGGAAAACTCGGATATGCTAATCTTCCCATTAAATACCTAGCAACCTAGCTTGTTGTCTTGCACTTAGCCAACATTCGACACTTATTTTAATTGAATTTAAAAACGGTATTTTATAGATGTTTACTCCCATCTAGTTTCAGAAACGATCTGATAACTCCCATAGAGTACTTTGCGTGTGTACATGTGTGTTTGTGTGAGAGACATTTCCACAAGCCCAGACATCCAGAACCTTGGATTTTTGTTCAAGAACTGGATTAAAAAAAAATAAAGCATATTAATAAAGACTATCATTATACGCGTGTCCACGATCATCATTTACATGAGCTGAAGTCTGCCTAGTTTATCACTGATTATTACAACGCTCATCTCTTAGTGTGAGAGGCAAGATGTTCGTATCTCCCCAGATTCATAATAACACCTTTCCCATCTTTGAAGGGGTCTGGCTCTGCTCAATATTTTCTGGGTGACAGTTGTCCCGGAAGGCACAGTGTCTTTCCTTGGATTCACACACTATTAATCTTTTCAGTAGGTTCATAAAAAGGACACTAATTAAGGGACCCTGTAACACAATCGCACACCGTTCAAAGTGGACGCCCTCTTGGGGATTATCTAGCGACAGAGACTCTGAGACCCGTCCCAAAGCAGGAAGATAGTAAGAGCTGGTTCCTGGGACAGTCACTGGATTCTCGGGCAGTAGCTTCGCCCACGGGGACAGGCAGAGCGTCGGAGATTCACAGCCACAGTTCAACAGCCATCCTCTGGGTGGAGGTATTGCCAGGTTGTGCAGCTGCGGCCGGCCGGCAAGCTACCAGTGGCGCTAAGTTCAAAGCTGCCAGAGCTCTCGCCGCGAGCCGAGTCCGGGAACAGAGGCGCCGAGAGCAAAGCTCCTTCTCCCCCGGGTGCAATAAAAGAAGCACGCCGAGGAGAGGGGCTCGGGCCCAGAGCGAGCGCCCGGTGCCTGCCTCCAGCTCAGGGGGCGCGCGGCTCCTGGCCAGAACGGCACAGGGACCCCAATCTTCGAGGAAGCCGCGCGGGGGCCGAAGAGGGTGGCGAGCGGGGCCGGGCGGGGCGGGCCGGGCCGCGCGCCTCTGAGCCGCACTCCGGCCGCCCGCACAATGGAGGCCCCGCCCCTGCCCCCTCCCCTCCCCTCCCTCTTCCTCGCTCCCTCCCTCCCTCCCTCCCTCCCTCCCTCAGCACCGCCCCGCCCCCGCCCCCCAGCGCCCCGCGCGCCGGGCCCCCCGCCTGCCACCTGAGCCCTCGCGCCGACGCCGCGCTCGCTCCCGGTGCCGCCGCCTCCCCCCCCCAACCCTGCGCCCCGCTCTCGGCCGGGGCCGCACAGTCGCGGCCGATCGCGCCGGGGAGGACATGAACCGGGGCTCGGGGGCGCACCCTCCCGCCGCGCTCAGCCGCGCCCAGCGTCAGCAGGCGCTCTGAGCGGCCACTCCCGGGCCGCGCCGCCCTCGCGCCTCAGTGCCAGCCCGCAGCCCCAGCCCGCAGCTCTGCCCCGGGCGCAGCCCCTCTGCCCGCGTCCCTCATGGCCAAGCCGCTGCTGCTGGTCGTCTGCGGCGCTCTGGTTGTGGCCGGGGCCCAGTGGGGGCCCAGCGTGCCCCCCGCCGGGACGAGCGAGCCCCCAGACGCGCCGACGGTGGCGCCCACGGAGGACGAGACGCTGCAGAACGAGGCGGACAACCAGGAGAACGTGTTGTCGCAGGTAGGCTGCGGGCCCCGGCCACCCCCGGCCCCGGGCGGGAGCGGGACGTGGCCCTCGCTGGAGCCTCGGCGGCCGCTGCGCCCCAGGCGTTTCTTCAGCGAAGGGACCGGATCCTCCTCCCGGCGTCAGGGGGTCTTTCAAGGTTACCGAATCAGGAGAAAGGAGAGAAGGCAGGCAAGACTCCACACAGCTCCCTGAAAAGAGGGGTTTAAAAAAAAAAAAAATCATCACCCAAACCTCTAGTCCCAGGATTGTGAAAGCCTGGTGGTCTCTTGCCTGTGTGGCTGTTCGTGGGAACTGGAACGTGACAACAGGCGGGCGTGTGGGACAGGAGGCTGATGCCTTCCCCGGGGGTGGCACTTGATGGTCCAGAGTGAGACGCACACCAGGGAGGAGCGGGGTGAAGACAGAACAGCAGCAGGTGCGATGCCTGCCAGGGGGCCCCGCCCAGGGGGACCGGGACAAGACCCCCGTGTACTGGGGAGGCAGGGTGCAAATGCAGATCCGCTCACCTCTGGCGGATGGTGGGGGGGGGGGATGAGGGACAGCTGATGGTGATGGGCTTTGTGAAGTGTCCCTTTACAAAGGACTCTGCTTGACTCAACCTCAAACACCCTCGTTCCCGTTCTATTAGCAAAGGATCCGTGGAACAGTAAGGCTTGGAACGGTGGGAGTGCTCCGAGTGGCTAGGGCCAGGGCGGCTGACTGCTGCAGCCCAGGTGCCTACAAGGGACAGCTCTCTGGAGTGTTCCATGCATGCGCTCCGGAGCCGGCCCGATGATGTGTGGTGGGTGTTGCCATCAGCCTAAGGATGAGGGCTGGCTGAGGGAGGGTGCCTGTCAGTGCTGCCCGCATCTCACTAAGTCCTTGGACTGGGTCTTGTCTCCCTCCTGGAGGAAGAACAGTCAGTTTCACTGTGGCGTTTATCAAACACTAGTCTCCTCACCCTTTTCCTTTGGAAGTTACACTGATAGATGCCCCATAGCCCTAAAACCTCGCACTCTCTCCTAAATCGAAAGGACATAAAAATCCTTCACAGTGGGGCTCTGGAGGGCCATGCACGAAAGTGTTCCTGAAACCCAAGTCTCGGAAAGGAAGGAATCCACCCAGGGTCCCGTTGCGAGCTTTGCAGGAATCTAGGCAGAGTTTCAGCGAGCAGACAGCCATGATTTACTGTCTGTCAGCCCATAAAGACCAGCCACTTCGGTCACCTTGTGCTGTAACTCCTGCGTCCACTGATCCATTCTGTAGTTGACAACAGCTCTAAAGCAAATATTAGTGTTAGAAGAAACCCAACCTTTGCAAGAAAAACATTACTAGCCTTCTTCCCCCCGGACGGCATCCCAGGAACATTCCCACTCGGGGAATGTCCTGTGCCTGCCTGCCAGGGTCATTAGTCAAAGGAAGGGAGCCCTTCTCCATGCCTAGAAAGGAAGAGCCCTGTGGCCCTGGGGCTGCAGGGTGTGTGGCTGGGGAGCTGGGGAGGAGCCTTTTCCCCCAGCAAGTGCCCAGCACCGTGGCTCCAGGAAGCCTGTCACTGCGTGCTTTCCCACCTGGGGAGGCTGGCCCGGGGAAGAGCTCAGAAGGAAATGTTTAGCGCTGTAGAAGCAGCAAGTACTGCCAGTGTGCTCTCCTGGCTTTGGCCTAGGGTTTGGGTTCAGAAGCCGTTCTAGGAGCCAAGGAATCCTGAGGCTGAGGAAACTTGACTGAGCTCTGGGTCTGTCTCTTTTCTCCCAGTTCCCTTTTTCCAAATCGAAACCATCCTTTGGGGATGAGCCTGGGTGGCTCAGTCGGTGAAGTGTCTGCCTTCAGCTCAGGTCATGATCCCAGGGTCCCGGGATCAAGTTCTGCATCGGGCTCCCTGCTCCGCGGGGAGCCTGCTTCTCCCTCTGCCTGCAGCTCCCCCTGCTTGTGCTCGGTCTCTCTCTTGTCTCTGACAGATAAATAAAATAAAATCTTAAAAAGTAAAGAAAGCATCCTTCGAGGGTCAGATCAAGTACCACGTCCTCCAGGAAGTCTTCTTGGGTGGAGCCACTCTGGCCACTTTGAGCCCCGCTGCGCTAGATCACGTCGGGGTACTCGGCACTGTCTGCTTGGCATGGCTGTGATCTGTGTGGGTACTGTATGGTGCGCTCCTGCGAGTGGGCTCTCTGGCCCGTCTGCTTCCCTCCCTTAGCCCCTAGCACCGTCCCGAGGGGGCACCCCATGAGTGGTCCGTGCGGGGGTGCGGCTAGAAGCAGGCAGCCTTCAAACTGGCATCTCAGTTTTGCCATCCTCTCCTCAGCCCTCGTCCTTTGCTTTTCAAATCTCAACGTGGGTCCTTGCGAAGGCAAGGGCTCATTTGTTTTTCCCTTGAAATGATGAAAGCCTCAGGCCCCCTGAGAAACACACAGCTTTCCAAGACAAATGAAGAGAACCAAACTCCTGAGCACCTTCAAGGAAATTTCAGAGTCAGCAAACTGTGTTCCGATGACCTCTTCTCCCCGCTGTTCAGAGTGGCCTGAGGTCTCTGGCTAGTGCAGGACATCTGACATGGTGAAGGGAGAGCCTTTCTAGGAGCCGGGCCGATACCTGTGTTTGCACACCCAACCCCGTCTCTCTCTGTCTCTGTGTCTAGTTGCTGGGAGACTATGACAAGGTCAAGGCTGTGTCTGAGGGCTCTGACTGTCAGTGCAAGTGTGTGGTGAGACCCCTGGGCCGAGATGCCTGCCAGAGGGTCAATGAGGGCACCTCCAGGAAGGAGGACTTCTACACCGTGGAAACCATCACCTCCGGCTCGTCCTGCAAGTGTGCATGTGTGGCGCCCCCGTCGGCCCTCAATCCCTGTGAGGGAGACTTCAGGCTCCAGAAGCTGCGGGCGGCGGACAGCCGGGACTTGAAGGTAGGACCTGGGGTGGGGTGATGCCACAAGTTGGGGGGGGGTGCCTTAGGGCCCTGGGGGTCCAGCAGAGCTGTTGCAGGGATTGTAAGGCCTTTGGGTAACTGGGACCCGGCTTAGCCTGTAAAGGTGAGGCCCCGGCCCCTAGCGTGTTGAGCACGTGTCCGTGGCTGATCGTGTGGCAAGCTGGTCATTTGCAGTCCCCCTGTCTGAAAGGGATGCCGAGAGCAGAGCGTGCCTGCCTCTCTCCCTGTGGAGCCAGGGAGGCTGGGCCTGGGAGCAGCTGCTGGGCCCAGGGGCCAAAAGAACTCAGTGTTCTTCTCTGCAAGAGTTATTGCCACGATTTCCTGTCAGCCCAGCACACACCCCAGAGACAAGAGACACAGGAGCGAGCCTGGCAGTCCTCAGCACAAGGGCTGGGGTGACCCAGGGCAGCAGAGGCCCCGGGGCCTGTTGTAGGTCGGTATCGAACTGAGATCCCGGTCCCACAGGGTGGGGAAGCTCAGGCCTGCCCGAGGCCACTGCCTGGCTTGGCCGAGGGCTTCGTCCGATCTCAGCAGCGTGGGGTAGTGGCCTGGGCCTGGTCTTGCAGTCAGACCAGCTTGGGTTCAGATCTGCCGCCGCTTGTTGTCTGATCCGACTCAAGGCACCTAACTAACTTGCCTGACCTCAGGCTCCTTGCATAGAAAGTGGGGAGTATAGCATCTACCTGTGGGGGAGCTGAGGTGGCGGCTAGGGAGCGCTTAGCACAACGCCTGACAGACAGTCGGGGTCAGGAGCCACTGGTCTCGCTCATGGGTGACCACACAAAGTGCCGCCGCGGGGCCTGGCGCCTGCCACACCCCGTAGCTGGTGGTCGTTGAGTGGGGTTCCGCAGTAAAACGCTTTAACATCCTGTCCCAGGATTCAGCCCGCCTCACAGAGCTGCAGCCCTGCCGCGGAACTAGTTTCGGGGCCGCCCCGTTAATGGGATTGTCTGGGTTCTGGGGGGCTTCTGGAACAATCTTCTATTAGGAGTCAGAAAATCTTCACAGTGCATGCTAACCAGATGCTGTCCTGTGGGTCTCACCCATGGTCCAGTGCCTTCCTCTGGTGGGGAGACAGGGGGTCTCTGAAACACGAGTAGCTCATACGTGGACTTCCTCATCCAGTAGCAAGGCCGCGGGAGTAGTGTGGCCAGCAGACTCTTCGGGGACTGGTCCTCGGCAGGGAGGCTCAGGTCAAGCATCTCTTGTCGGCCCCTGTGCTGCACTCGGTGGGACCACCGTCTTCCCAGGCAACTGGCAGAAAGGCTGGGGCCCCAAGACAGCTTCTGTCACCTCAGAGATGGGTCACTGGGCCTTCTTTGCCCCGGGGTCAGTTTAACTTGTAGTGCTGAGGGAAGACCGTTGGTATGTTCCAGGCCTTCAGTAGACAATGAAGGTGAGTGTTTCAGAAGCACATCCTCAAGGCATCGAAGTTCCTAAGCCACGTCGTTGCGTAGGTATAGATCACCTGCTGTGGGCCAGGTGCTGTGCTAAAATCTTGGGGAAACAAAGATGAGGCACTGCTTTCAACTGATGAATAAAAGTTCTGAACAGTTTGATGATTTTGGTGAAGAACAGTTTTACTTGTTCTTACAGGATTCTTCCATTTCTCATCTGACTATTCTGGTGGGCAGACTACCTCCCACCATTGTGCTGGCTTCTGTGCCCCCCCCCCCGCAACAAATGCCAATTTTTAAGGCCACCTCCCTGTTGAGCCTCCGGCATGGGGGTCTGACAGGAAACGTCTCGTCCTGGGTCTGTCGCATCCCAGCCCCTGACTAACCCCCTACTCCTGTTTCCTAGCTTTCCACCATCATAGACATGCTGGAAGGAGCTTTCTATGGCCTGGATCTCCTGAAGCTGCATTCTGTCACTACCAAACTGGTGGGGCGTTTGGATAAACTGGAGGAGGTAAGGAAGATTCTGGGTTTCTGTATCCTTCTTTTTTTTTTAGGTTTTATTTATTTATTTCAGAGAGAGAGCACCCGTGTGAGTGGGGGGAGGGGCAGAGGGAGAGGGAGAGACAGAATCCTTAAGCACACTCCACGCTGAGCCCAGAGTCGGATGCAGGGCTCGATCCCAGGACCCTTAGATCATGACCTGAGCTGAAACCAAGAGTTGGATGCTTAACTGACTGAGCCACCCAGGCACCCCTCTGTATCTTTCTCTTGATCAGGTCCAAAAATGTATCAAACTTCCCACAATATTTCCAGAAAGCATGTAACCTGACTAGACTTAACCTGTTTTGTTCTTTGGAAAGACAAAATATACGTAAAACGCTCATCCGAAATCATGCCAAATTTTCGATGACAAAGAGAATCAGTGAAATATAAATATAAATATATACCTTCTTTCTTTCATAGACGAGAACCATATAACCAACGTATTTCTATTTTTACCTTGACTTCCACGGAACTCAGAGCTAAATGAAATATAAAAGTACAATAAGCATCTTACTTCTGATTTTAAGGTGGTGGCATCTCCCTTCGGGGAATAGGGTTGTCAATTTTTTCTTCTGGTTTTGTTCTGTTTCGTTATTTTAACTGTTCTGCCGTCCGTCTCTGTATGTGTATGTGTGTTTGTGTGGTGATCAATCTTAAATCCACTTTAGAGAAAGAAGACATAAAAATGATTACTAATAAATAACATTCCCCACTGGAAAGCATTCCAGTTCCTCACCCCCTGGAAGGAGGGACCAGTAGTGTAATTTTCCCAGACAGACATCACACGGTTCTGACAGGGCTCCTGGGAGACACTCGACTGGCACCATGATTTTCAAAGGGGCGGTGTGTGGGGTGGTGGTGTGAGATAGGAGTCGTTGCACACGATAATAATGTTGACACCATTTTGTTGCTGTCATCCTTTAAAACAGAGATAAGTCACTTGGTCACCCTGAAGGGAACGATGACCACTCAGCCTCACTGGTAGGGAGCGTACGGGTGTGTGTCATTGACTGGCACCCAGTTCTTGAGCTGATACTTGAAACAGTGACTCAAAAAATTAGGTCTATTTACTTCTTAGACTGTGACTGTAAATGGTGGGTTTAATAGCAGAACGATTAGCTCTACGAATATCCCTCATGAAAATATCGGGGGTCTCTCATGGAGGAGCAGGGCTTCCCTCGTGGGCGGTTAGAAGCTGTAGGATGGGGCAAAGGTAAGGCCCTTTAGTGTGGCAGAAAGAGCCCTCACCGGACGAGGAGTCAGGACAGAGTGACCTGCTCTCTGTTTGCTGTTGCTGAGCAACTGTCCCCCAGCTTCTCCATCTGTAAAGTGGGCGAGGTACCCTGTCTACTTTGTATGATTGCCGAGGGGATAAAAAGTGGGCTAATCACTTTACAGATGCTTTGAAATGGTTAAATAAACAAGGCACTCTTGTTGTGACCAAGGAGTGGGAGGGGGTAGCGTCTCCCTGTTGCTTTGCTGGGGAGCTGGGACACGGAGGACGAGACATTGCCGTTGCAGAGATTGGTGTCAGCACCCTCCTTACGCTCCAGAAAATGTTCCAGAAAGTGAGCGCCGCTTCCTTGTCCGTCCATCCTTAGGCCTGGCTCGCCCAGTGGTGTGATGAGTGTTTTCTGAACACGGCCATCAGCTCTTGGGGGAGGAGGGGTGGGTCCACAGTCAGAATCACTTCAATTACCAGGTCTGGTGAGAAGGGTCAAGGCCCTGGAACCTGAGCTTTCTAGACCTCTAGTTTGAGGTGGCCAACAGAACCACGTCGGCCCATTCTTCCCGAGGGGGCTTCGCAAGAGGATTAGGCCTAATCTTCGCTCTCTTTCTCCAACACGGACGGCTGTGAAGAGGTTGGGAATGGTCAACACCATCCTCCCACCAACGGACTTCATCCAGGCTTGGGATTCGTTCTCCCATTTAAAACTACTTTCCGATTCTTTCAGGTGGGTTCAAAAGGAATTAAACCAGTATCCAAGTCGACCTTGGAAATTGGAAAGTTCTTTTTCCCTTGGCCCCCAGAGCCGCGCAGATGTGCGATGCCCCCTTTAAAAAAGGGTTTGCGTTTGAATAGGAACAGGGCTGATAGCCACCTCTGCTGCTTTCACCTGACCTTGGCGGCCACTTGGTTTTCATTCTGTCTCAAGAACACAGACCGGGAAAGATAGCTCTGGGGGTAGAGCACAGTGCTCATGAGGCCAAGGTCAGGTGCTCAGCCTCCGAGGGCTCTGCTCAAGGGGTGTAGTCTGTTTCCAGCCTTGTCAGGCAGCGGGCCCTTCCTGCTGGCAGAGGATAGGCATGCATTTAGTGGGCGAATTTGGGGCGGTGGTGCTGTCCCAGCAGGATGGTGTCCTCTGGGTAGGCACGCAGTCACTGGGTTTTTGCCAAAGCCCATCTAAGTTCTATTGATGAGAGTGATCTCTTTTTCAAAACTGTGGTATGTTGAGTAGCAAAAACTGGCCCTTTATATTAATAATAACCATCCCCTCTGCTTACGTAGCAGTTTTTGGTTTTAAACCACCCCGTAGACATTGAGCACTTCTGTTCCCGTGAGCTAGACAGGACATGAGACCTGCAGTAGGTTCTAGGGAAGTGTAGGCAGGAGCTCAGGCCTTCTGGTTCCTGGGCCAAGGCTCTTTCTAATCAACCCTGTAAGTTGCTTTGAGTCATTGCTGTCTGCCCCGGAAGCATCAGTTTTTCCTAAGCAGAGCTTCAAACAACAGCTCTTCCAAGGGAATTTCTAGGCAGAGCCGTGGCTGTATCCCATAAGTCCTGTTAAATAAGATTAAAGTGGAGTGAGAGGTTCCCCCAAGCATGCTGTCCAAGGCTACAGGGCGCAGTGGTGTGGCCGATGGCACAGATGGGCTGGGGACCCGGGCCCATAGAGCGGAGCATTGTCTCCCAGTGTGACATTCAGCCTCTGTCTGCTGGCTCAGGCTGGCTGACTCGGTCTGCAGTCTGCAGTCACTGAAAAGGCCCAATGTTGGGTAAATGGAAAAAACAGTCCTCCAGCCGGGCTGTGCAGGAGGATTGGAAGTGAAATTCTGCTCTTGGTCTTTGGATATTCCGGAATCCCAAGGGGAGTGCTTTGGAGGTCAGACCAGACAAAGGGGTCAGATTGGTGCGGCATTTTGCCCAGAATAGGATCAGTGCTTGGCAACAGAAGCGGGCACACGTGTGAACACCCACACCCTGTAGAAATGGAAACTCCATTTGTAGATGAAAGAGGAAGGAAGGAAGGAGAAATAGAATCTAAACTGTTAGAGTCTCACCTTCTGGTAAAATCAGCTCTCAGAGCTCTGCTTAGTGTGGTGATTTTGGTTAAGCTTTTGTTTTAATTTAGGGAAAATAACACATGCATAGAAAAGTACATAAGCAACAAATGTACAGCTTAATTATTACGAAGCAGACCACCACCCAGCTCAGGAAACCTCAGCACCCCCATGTGCCCTCTCCTCACCGCCCCCCCAAGGAACCTCTACCCTGACTTTTATGTTAATCATCTTGTTTTTTTTTTTTTTAAAATTTTATTTTTTTTTTGAAAGAAAGTGAGAGAGAGAGAGGAGCCACATGAGGGGGGGGAGGGTCAGAGGGAGAAGCAGACTCCCTGCTGAGCAGGGAGCCCGATGCGGGACTCGATCCCGGGACTCCAGGATCATGACCTGAGCCGAAGGCAGTCGATTAACCAACTGAGCCACCCAGGCGCCCCATCTTGTTTGTTTTTTAAAAACATTCTCATTATCTAAGGATGTATCCCTAAATATAATAGTTTTGTCTATTTTTGAACTCTAAGTATATAGAGTCCTACAGAATATGTGTGTACCTGTGTATGTGTGTTGGGCTTTTTTCAGTTTTGTTTTTTTGTTTTTTTGTTTTTTTTTTTAAGTAATCTCGCCACCCACTGTGGGACTTGAACTCACAACACTGAGATGAAGAGTTGCATGCTCCACTGACTCAGCCAGCCAGGTGCCCCTCAATTTTGTTTTTCTTTCTAAAGATTTAATTATTTGAGAGAGAGAGAGAGCATGAGAGGGGGTAAGGGCAGAGGGAGAGGGAGAAGCAGACTTCCTGCGGAGCAGGGAGCCTAACGTGGGGCTCGATCCCAGGATCTCGAGATCATGACCTGAGCCGAAGGCAGATGCTCACCCCACCGAGCCACCCAGGTGCCCCTCTTCAATTTTGTTTTTAATAGTTACCTGTGTTGTTTTGTATCCTGTGGTTCATTTATTTTTATCGCTGCGCAGTATTCTGTTGTATGAATATAGCACAATTTATCCATCTGTTCTACTGAGGAGGGATATGGGGTATGTTTTTAGTTTTGTAATTCATAACAGCCCTGGGAGCTTCCCTGTACGTGCACAGCCCTGTGTGTGCTCCCTGGCCCAGGCCCAGGCCCAGGCCTGCAGGCACTTCTCTGTGGTATTTAAGTGGGAGCGGGGCTACTGGGACGTGAGTTAGGCTTACCTTCAGTCGTAGGGGAGATTGCAGAGCTGTTTTCCCAAGTGCTAGTACGAGTTTACGTGCCCTCCAGCAGGGTATGGAAGTGCCACACACATCCTCATCAACACTTGGTATTGTCAGACTTTCTAGGTTTTGTCAGCTTGGAGAGTGTAGCAGAGTAGGGTCATGTCACTGTATTCCAGAAACCTAACCCCCAAAACATCTTTTCTATTCGCCTGGTCGAGGCCTGAAACCCCATGGGCATTTCTATAGAACTGGTCCCAGTAGAAGTGACATCCAAAGTGGTCAGCAGGCCAAAAACTTTTTTTTTTTTTAAAGAATTTACTTATTTATTTGACAGAGAGAGAGCACAAGCAGGGGGCAGTGGCACGCAGAGGAAGAGGGAGAAGTAGACTTCCTGCTGAGCAGGGAGCCCGATGTGGGGCTCGATCCCAGGACCCCTGGATTATGACCTGAGCTGAAGGCAGACGCCCAACCAACTGGGCCACCCAGGCACCC